TATATATATATATATATATATATATATATATATATATATATATATATATATAAAATCATTTTGTAAGTTCTATCCTCTAGGGTAGTGGTTCTCAACCTTCCTAATGTGACCCTTTAATATACAGTCCCTCATGTTATGGTGACCCCCAACCATAAAATTATTTTCGTTGCTACTTCATGATCGTAATTTTGCTACTGTTATGAACTGTAATGTAAATACCTGATATGTAGGATATCTGATATGTGACTCCTGTGAAAGGGTCGTTTGATCCCCCCCTCAAGGGGTCACAACCCACAGGTTGAGAACCAGTGTTCTAGGGACCCATAACTAATACCGCTGGTGTATTAATCAAACCAGAGTACCAACCCTGCGACCTTCAGACAGTCCCTGTCACATCCTGGCTTTCTGTCCCACAATGATCACAGTGGGGGGATGTACTAAGGTCTTGCCCTACTGCTGGGATCCTGTGACTCTAGAGCAACAAATCAGACATGGGCATTATTCCGTTCATAGTCCACGAAGGAGTGGGACCATGGGCTTACCACCAGGCTGGTATTGAATTTATAAGATCTCTGCACGGTCCGGTCACTGAAGCTGTTGCACAGGTTCTTCTTCACAAAGTTTGGGTGGTTCAGGATATCATTTGCTACCAGGGGCTCCTGACAAGACCACAAGACAAAGACCAGTCACTTCACATACGTTGGGCTTTCGCAGAACAGAGCTGACTAACTTTGGCCAAAGGATACCTTGTGGGTGATGTGTTGTTGCTCCAGAGGTGCATGGCCTTTGGGGTCAACGAGGGTTGGATGAGCCACCAGATAACCTCTGTCCTCCATTATGAAGCACCTGTACCAAAAAAAAGTGATGTCCTTCATTCATATGAGTGGCTGACATGCTTTCAAAGGACACTTGACTGCACTAGCCTTAAAACAAACTTATCTAGACTTACGGGGGGAAGAATGAAGGAACCTTGCCGGTGATGGACTAGCTGGCCTTCAGGTTAGGGTAAGAGCTACACATTGTTCTGTGGTCACCTGTACAGTTCACAGGGGATGTGCCCACCCAATGCAAGTGTGAGGGACGTGAAATTCTTTGAAAGAATATTAGAAGGAGGATGATTTTGAAGGGAAGAAGCAGAGGAGTATTCACAGACACAAACAAACAAAACACAACACTCGATGCACATAAAAAGGTACTTGTAGGAACACTAAGCAGAGCCAGAACTGCTTTAATCAGGACTATGTTCCATCTTCTTCCCCCAGCAGTAGTCAGAGCGGTGGCCAGGAGCCCTGCACACGCCCATTAAACTCCAATGTGAAATTCAACAGCGACAGAACGTGCGGAGCACAAGACGGAACCAAGAAGCGACTTTTAAAAGCTGTCTGCGCTGAATCAAGGGAATGCCCTTGCTTTGATCAGACATTTTCTTTTGAAATTCAGAAGGCGAGGTCTCGTAGATCTGTGAGCCTCTTTCTGGGAAAATGTAAAAGTGCCAGTCTAAACAGCTGAAATTTCACAGAGATTGGCTTAATGACTAAGTTAACATCAAAAGTGCCGCCCAACAGAAAGCGCCCTCTGGTCTCCCCAGTACCAAAGTTGAGGGACGCTTCCAATCACTGACTTCTGGAGAAACATGACTTTGGGGCACTCTGCTATTCCTCTTGCTAGGCACTGTGTCTGTTTGTCTAAATAATAAGCAGCATGTACCTTTGAAAAAGGAAAGAAGGGCCAGGGAGATGCCACAGTGGGTAAAACACTCGCCTTGCAGTCCCCCACACCCATGGTAAGCTTAATGCTGTAGCACACATCTGTAAGGAGACTCCTTGACAGCTCATTGGCCAGGGAGCCTGGTGCTTACAGCCATGAATAAGGGACCTTGTCTCAAAGAAGGTAGAAGGTAAGGACACCCAAAGTTGTCCTCTGACATCTGCACACACACACACACACACACACACACACACACACACACACACACAGAGAGAGAGAGAGAGAGAGAGATTTGGGAAAAAAAGGTGGTGGAGGGGAAGAGGACAATAAAAACCCGTCTTAATAGGACACCCAGGCCATGAACTCAACTTTTGGTACTGATTCTAACTATATGGCCAACATCTGGTCCCAATTTGTTCTGATTTTGGCAGTGGACAGGAACTAGTGTCCCTGGAGGGCTTACCTTATTTTGTTGCCACCATCTTGGTTACAAACTGGTAAGAGGTCCATCAGAACTTTGTAGAAGTACCTCAGGGTGAAGTCAATGCCCATCACAGCCACAGTGTGTCCGGAAGACAGCTGTGTACTTCATGTGAAGGAGACCGATGAGAAGAAGAGGTAGAGCATACATGGCATTGTCTAGGATTAGAAACATATGCCCTCCCCATTTCCCGCGCCTGTAAATGCGGAGTGACTGAATGTAGCATGAAGATGCCTTGAGAAAAAACATTAAGCCTTTAGTTACGGCTTTCTGAATAAGACCAGCACCAAACACGAGCAGCTGTGGGATATGTCCAGTCCTCACAACCCCCACAAATGTTCAGAGTGGTTGGGCTTTTTAGCAAAAATATCAGTCAGAGACGTAAGAGTGAGAGATTGCAGGTCTGGCTACTTAAAACTGAAAAATATTATGTACATGTGTATATACACATGTATGCATGTATGTGCCTGTGTGTTTGTAGATGTATGTGGGGCATGCATGCCACAGTGTGTGTGTAGAAGAAGGCAACTTGTGGGAGTCACTTCTCTCCTTCCATTATGTGGTCCCGGGGATCAAACTCAGGCTGTCAGCCTGGGCAGCAGGCGCCTTTCCCCACGGAACCATCTCACAGGCGCTACAGTTACTTCAGCAAGCTTCTAGAAATGGAACCTGAATGGCTGCAATTCATTACTGCCTTCACTCTTTCTGGTAAGGAAACAGGCCTCACAGAGACTTAGCAAGCACACTAAGGCCACATAAAACTTACCAGGAACCCTGTCCATTTTCTTTCCACAACACCATGGTGGACTCTACTCAAAACACAGTTCCTATTTAAGAACGAGTCTTATGTGTTGCAGGTCAGAACACCCTCTCTACCCTATACTACCCTCAAAGAGGGACTCGGCAGGTAAATCCAGGCAGTAAGGCTTGGTGCTGCTGGCTAATTTTTTGGTAGATATGGGGTCAAGTCCCAGCATAGCCAGTTTTATTTATGTTGCTCCTGGATGCTATTTGGCCTTTTTAAAACTTTGGTTTTTCATATGAAAAAGGAGATAAACATAAGGTAAACACCCGAATAGCAGAAGTGACTCAGTGAAATACAGCAGGGCTTACCCAACATGGACTGTTAAGAGCCCAACATCTATTTTTTTTTTATTTTATAATTTAATTTAATTTTACATATCAGCCACGGATTCCCCTGTCCTCCCTCCTCCCGCTCTCCCCCCACCCCCAGCCCAACATCTATTATTATCTACCTGGCTGGTTACCAAGAAAATAACAGAAGAAAAAAATGACTTCATTCTTAACCATTTCATGATGGTCTTTTTCTTCTCTCTCCACAGCGACAGGGTTTAACTCTGGGGGCCTACTGCATCCTAGGCAGGTGCTCTGTGAACTGATTGACAGCCCAGACTTTTCTCATGGTAATCTTTACTTTTACGTTTTGTGCATGTGTGTCTCCATGTGTTATATATGTGCACCAGGTACACGACTGGAGCTGGTGCTGGCAGCCAAATTGGGTCTTCTACAAGAAGAACAAGTGTTCTTAACTGCCAGGCCATCTCTCCAGCCCCTTTTGTGGCACTCTTGGGAGGCTTTAGCAATTCAAGCACACTGGAGCTTGCAAGAGTGAGGTCTCTCTGGCCAGCATCATGGAATAATTAGTGTATACATGGACAGAAACTCACTGCCTAATTCCAAAAGCATATTGTCTTAGTCACTAAGTCAGATCTGTAGGGCTGTAAACAATTTTAAATTATTTAATTTCTGTGGAAGAAGCTAAGAAAAAAATTGTAGTTTGTATTTTATGGATGAAAAAAATCAGCCTGAGAATGGTTAAAAGACTTAAATATCCCCCTTTCCCTGTATCTGGAACAGCACCGGAGGTTGGCTCTTCTCTACAGTACTGTATGTCTGCTTCTGTGGAAAGTACTGTTCCGGTGTTTGGGATGTGCTCATTTGATTTCTAAACCTCCTCTGAATGGCAGCTATCTGCTCCAGTATGAATTAAGATGCTGAAGTAATAGCACGTATCTTACCCATGAGCCTAGATTTGTATTTTACCTGAATTGCAGTGAGCTGTACTGTTACCATAGCAACTCAAAAGAATGTTATAGAAATATCCAGCCAAATCTACATTTCTAAACAACGGACCAGGTTGATGGTAACACATGTATGCGATTATCATTATTGAAATCCTGTGACCAGTCCCTTTATCTCCAGCAGTGTTATCACATGGGGAGAATGCCCAGCTAGACTGACAGGCCACTGGAAATGCTCATGGAAGCAGACAGAGTTCCCATGAGTGACTGGTGAGCGCTGAGTTAGAAAGCCCTCCCCTAGCTCTCCACCAAAGTACACCTGAAACCAGGGGTGAGTGGTTGTGTTTCAGACAAGTGGGGTATCCATGTCAGCTCTTTCCTCTGACCAGTTCGAATGCCACAAGTTCAAAGCCTAAATAGCACGGCAATAAAATAACCGCTATTTACTTATCACTCAACACTGTCAAGTTTGGAGCTAAGCATTTTCCCAGGCATCACCTCTAACACCTTGCCCCTTTCCCACGTTCTGGGCGCTGTTCTATGAGCTTCACATATTATTTAATTTAATTATTAAAATAATTATTTGAGATAGGCTCTAGTGAGGAAACAAAAGCAAAAAAGGATTTGCTTACAGTTCTATAAATCACAAACAGCAAAGCTACTTTTACGTATCTCAGGAGGGGAGTAGGTTCCCAAGCTGGCACCTTTGCCAAGCCTGTGTAGCAGTGCAAGTTGCGGGGGCTTTTGCTGAGCAATGGAAGAGGCTGTGGGCTTGGATCTAAACTGTGATGAAGGAAGAGGCCACAGCTCTAAATACTCAAATGGTACCCAGCTAAGTGAAACATCCACACAATGGGGTCTGCAGGCTACATTTTGAGGAGGGCCACAGCATACGTTTCCTCTGGGGGGAATCCATATTCACAGTGACTTCCAGTCTAGGACGAAAACTGTGCATTTTTGTTGTTGTTAAACAGGAAGGTAACCAGAGAGGAGATCTAAAGTTGTTCTCATTTGAAAAGTCACTGCGTTCCCGCCGTGCTTCATTTGAACAGGCCCCACAAAGGTTGGCAAACAAACCAGATCAACATTCTTGTACTTCCCCTAATCGTCAGTAAAGATGCTTACACACATACACATAAACTCACAAACTGGTCTCTACCCGTGCACCAAGAGCACACAACAGAAGGCAAGGCTAAGTGCTCCTGACAACGAGTTGACGATGAAGGGACCCCTCACTGGTATCTTTGAAAGCCCGACTCAGGCCCCTTTAACTACAGTTAGAGATGAGGTGGACTCTGTCCCTGGAAGAAACAGTCTATTTACTTTTCCTTCACGGATTAGGCTGTGTGGAGGGGATGATGAGTCTCATCACATACCAGATGGCATGCTAACAGAAATACGGAAGGATGTACTCCGTATGAGGGTTATTTGCTTATGTAGGGGATTTGTGTTATGAGACAGCTGACAGTCAAGCAGACACCGCTGCCCCAGAATCAGCCTTTGGCTGGCGGCAGGCATGGCTTTCCATAGAGACATGGGCCCGATGCTGGAATTCCACCCCACTCTGCTCTCCAATTATTATATCAATGAACTTATGTCAGGAGACTTCTAACTAGTACCAGTCATTTGAAGAGTAATGAGCACCACTGAAAAGCAAGAAGATCTGCTTTCCTCTAAGTTTTAAGGCAGCATGCCAGGCACCAGTCAAAAATATGGTCTTTCTTGGTTGCTTTGAGAAAATAGCTGTTTGTATAATAAAGGGATTAAAGCAATTCACTTTCCCATCCAAACTTTCACTGATGTTTGTAGCGTCACAGCTGAAGCTTTAAGCGGTAGGAAACAATACATTCTGATATATGTCCCATGGTACGGATATCCTGGCAACATCATTTTTAAGAGATACTTTCCAAAATACCAAACAGAAAACTAAAGCAAACAACTCACATAATTCTAAAGAGTCAGACACAATAGAACTCCAGATGCCCTGGTACATCTTTCCTCATTAAAAAATACTCCTCTGCTGGAAAACATAGCAATTCTAACAATGAAAGATGCCATGTTCCAGCTGGGATTTCTTTTCCTTTTTACATGTATGTGCACGTGACTGAAAAAGTTGGTGGGACTGCTTCAGTGGGCAAAGGTGATTGCCACCAAACCCGATGGCCGGATCCCCGGGACCTGCATGGTCTAAGAGAACCAGTCTCTTCTTACAAGCTGTCCACTGGCCTCCACGTGTGTCCTGTGCATGTATGCATGCACACAAGCACACATTAGGTAAGTTAATACATGTAATCTAAAAGGTTTTACATGACTAAAAATTAATTAACATAATTACCTGGATGAATGAATTGTGTGACTGATCGTCACCACATAGCCAGCTCCTCCAACGTCGAGGTAAGGACCAGTCAGAGAAATCAGCCCTGGATTAGCTACCGCATGAAGATACCTAACAGAGACCCAAGAGAAGCCATGTGATTTTAGGCATTAACTACCCTGTAAGTTTCAAGGAACAGTGAGTTTGTAGCTCTAAAGTACTTATCACTAACTGTGCTGGTACCACCTTAAAAATCAAAACGAATCTTCCATAAATTTTTAAAAAACAGTTTATGTGTGTTTTGCCTGCTTATTACGTATGTGTGCCATGTACATGCTTAGTGCCTGCAGAGGCCAGAAGAAGGTGCTGGAATTGGAGTTACAGATAGATGTTTGTGAGCCACCATGTGGGAGTGGGAATTGAACCCGGGTCCTCTGCAAGAACAAGTGCTCTTAACCACTGAGCTATCTCTCTACCTCCTTACTTCATTTGCAGAGCTGGGGTTTTGAACTTATGGCTTACCCATGCCAGGCAAGTGCTCTAGCACTGAGCGGCCGACCCAGCCCAGCTTCTCACCTTTTGTGTCTGAGGATAGCATCAGGACAAAGAGCTGAGAGACTGAGATTCCCTGCTCTGACATGTGCTCGACTCTGAGCTTTGACTGAGCCCTGCGGTTCAGGTGATCCAGAGGGGAATATAGAAAAGGACCAATGAAAGAAGAGAAGTAAATAAACATAAGGAAACCACCCCGGATTATTCCGGGTGGGGAATGGCCCGGAAGAGCTGACTCCTGAGCGAGGTGGTTGCTATCCAACACAGAAGTGATTTTGCTCCTGGTTCATGCTGCCTCCTCCCTGCTACAGTGCCTGCCTAGCACAAGTGTGAAAATGAAGCTCAGAGGTAGAAGAACATTCCTGAATTTACATGTGTTCATTTTCCACAGGTCATACATGATGCCATAATTACACGGAGTAAAATGAACTATTTCATTCAAGATGACCCTCCAGTCATGAGGAAGAATCAAGTAAGACCTTAGGAGTCAAAATGGACAAATGTAAGGCATTTCACTCTCAAAATTCCAATAGAGAGATAAAGGCACTGCAGTTAGGAAAATAACCCACAATATTAAAAAAAATATTGAAAATAATTTTACCCCCCTTGGAAGTGTCTTCTGTGATTGGCAAAGTTGCTGTATTGTCTGTACTTATCATGTCTCCCCAGGCCTAGGAGGACCTGGAAACGGAAGCCCCCTCAGACTCACCACTGTCTCCTAGTGGGATCAAATGCTTTGTCCATGAGGGACCCAGGATAAATTCTGAGGACGCCATTGGGTGTTGCTATGTAACGGCGGACAATGTATGTGTTCAGGCTGCTCATTTCCATCTGTGTCATCCATTCATCTGTGACGTGGCTGGTCGCCATCACTTCATTCCGGACAGAGAACTAAGAAACAAAGGCAGACCTTGCAGGGCCCCTTTAAAAAAAACTCACATGAAAAGAGTGTGGGCTGCTGGCAGGGCTCCCCAAGGTTCTCTTGCAGAGAAGCCAAGCCCAATTACTTCTTGAAAACCTTTCCAGAGCAGATGGACTCAGCCAAACCCGGTGAAAACAAAAGTTTGCAGAATGAAGTCGGGTTGCTGCGACTACACAGTTGTTCACCTAGCTAGCTTCAGAAAATCCCTACGGCGGATCATTAGACACATAGACACGGCCTCTTTGGTGTTGACTGTCATATTCATCTCGACAGCAGACCACTTCTTTTCCATGGGAAAAATGGAGTGTGAGGTTTTCTCTGGTCTCTTAATCACACCCCCCACCTGGAAATCCCCATTGCCTATGGGACCTGAAGCAGATTCTTCATGTGGCTCACTGGGCTCCTTAATCCATCAAAAGGGTCACAGCTGACTAGCCTCCCCCTGGGGCACACACTCTGCCTTTTTGGCTCCTGGCTGCAGAGGCCCAGATGCAAGCAGGGTTTGATACTTCAAAGGTTCGTGGCCAACACCCCCTCCTGGGCCTGTGGGAAGGGGTCCCGGGGATGTGGCCTGTGCCAGCACTTACTTTGAGTCCTGGGTTAGCAATGAGGCGAGTGTTGTCACTGAGATAGGCCGTGTAATGCTCCACCATGCGCTTGGTCTCGGGCTGGCTGAGGTGCTCGTAGGGGGAGGAAAAGCTGCCGGCGGACAGCATGACGGTTGGACTTTCTGAAAGAGACCCCGACAAAGCAGGCCTCAGCACACCGAGACTTCATTGGGGGCCCAAACAAAAGCATCACTCAGGCTCTGCCAACATGTCTGCTACGGTGGCTTAATGTCTTCCACAAGGGCACAAAGAGCTTGACAATGAGAGCAGAGAAAAAGGGAAGGAAAAAAAAAAAAGCCACATTCTCTCCCTTCAGGGAGCTTATGGTCCTGTGAGGGAGGCAGGATGGGGATGTGCCCAAAGAGGCACAAATGCTGGAAGCGGAAATCCTAAGAATCGTAGATCTGCATGCTGTGTATCTGTTAGGATAGAGGGTACAGCACACACATAGAGCCAGACTGGGTAGACTCTGGGCTCTGCCATTTTCTGGCTGTGAGATGTTGGGCAAGCATTTGCAAAATGGGGAAAATAACACCAACTCTCTAGAGCGATGCTGAACGGTGCTTTACAGGAGCACCAGTGATGTCTGTTAGTATTCACATCAGTAACTGTCATTCAGGAGAAAGAAAGATGAAATGTTGACATCAGTGCAAAAACCAAAACCAAATTAAAAAATCACCCTCCCAGGTGGTAGGCAAACGTGTCCCAAAGAAAGCTTATCGAGAGTATCCCATGTGTATATCTGTAGATACGAGGTCTAACATGAAAATTAGTTTCCTATTTGAGACAAAAATCCTTGCAGTGAGTCACAGTATGAAACAAAATGTTCTATTTAAATTTTTTATTGTTCAACCTTCCCATACTTTTATTTCCTTTGAAACAGGTCTTGGTGTGCAGCCCTGGCTGGCTTAGAACTCTCCTTGTGGACCAGCCTAGTCTCAAAGTCACAGAGATTTGCCTGCCTCTGCTTCCTGAGTACTTAAAAACACGCACCACCACACCAAGCCTCACCCTATTTTAAAATGTGTCATAAAACACTGTCATGTGACATCCAGCACCTGGGAGGCTGAGGCATGAGGGAAGTGAGTTTGAGACCAGCCAGGATTGATTATATAGTGATACCTGTATACAACAAACAACCAACATAAAAACCCAAACAACAAAGATCGCCAAAAATGGATACGAAACCTACTCTCTATCCAAACAAATTTGTCTACAAGAAACTCACTTAACCTATAAAGATATATAGAAATCAGAAATAAACTGGTAGACAGTGGAGTTGTGACATTAATTTCAGAGGAAACCGACTTCAAAGCATCTCAGCTTTGTTGCTTTGCCTTAGTCTGAGGAAATTATTTTTCTTTGGTAAGCCCAAATGTCTTCCTTTGCCACAGATCAACCAAGGCACTGGACACTAAACACCTGGTACATTGCAATAGTAAGTCCTACCGGCATCCTTTGGAGACTCTGCCTACGGCTAAGCTCTTTTGAGGTAGGGTGCTGTGGAAGATGCCATCAGCACCTTCATCAGATCCCTCCCCACACCTGCACCTCCTCACACCTGTGTCCTGTGCTCTTCTGGTAGGACACCTGTTTGTGGCCTCTGGACAACCAAACCATGCCTAGCACTGGCCGCAGGCTGAGAGGGGCTGAGCACTAGGAAAGCTCATCTGTGGTCTGGGAAGATGCTGGGTCCATGGACACTGCGAACCTGAGACCCCAGAGGCTGGAGCATCATTTGGAATCAGCTTAGCTTTGTCTTTTCTCCCTGTTTACTGCCTTCCCCTCTTCACTGGTCTCTTTTGAGAGCATAGCAATTCCCATCTCAGGGGGCTGGAGAGATGGCTCAGAGGTTAAGAGCACTGACTGCTCTTCCAGAGGTCGTGAGTTCAATTCCCAGCAACCACATGGTGGCTCACAACCATCTATAATGAGATCTGATTCCCTCTTCAGGCATACAGGCAAACTTGCAGAAAGAACACTGCTTATATAATAAATAAAATATATCATAAAAAAAAAAAAAAGAAATTCCCAACCTCTTCTAGGCAACCTGACCAAGGCAGAGAACATAACTGCTACACATAGTATATTTTGTTACGCTATCATTATTATTATTAGTTTATTGAGACAGGTTCTCACTCAATAGCCCAGGCTGTCCGGAAACTCACTATATAGTTCAGCCCATAGTGATCTGCCTGTCCCAGCCTAATACCACCAGGACTGTGAGTGTGAACCACTGTACCTGGCTGCTTCACATTTTCTAGAACTGGAAATATGAAGTATTTGGGGCTGGACAGAGAGCAGGAATCAAACATGTTTATGATAAACTCTTTGAGCAAGATCATGCAGGAAGCTGAGGAGCCCATGGGCTTTACCTAGAGTCGCCAGCTGCTTGAAGTGGAGGCAAGCGCTAGGTTGGCCCAGGAGATCTAGCCGGTGGTACAGCAGCTTGCTGCTGGGCACGGTGTTGAGGTTCTTCAATTGTTTGACAGGTATTTCCGGTTGGATCACCACAATACACAGAATGAAGGAAGTGTCCTGTACCTGTAAAGGGGAGGGAAAAAAATCAGCAAGGAATTCCTAACACAGAAAATGAAGAGTCCATTGCATACATTCTTTTCTGATGTCTGTCTTCTCTCTGGGAAGGCGTTAATGCAATGTCGGATGAACACATGAATGATATGAAGATTCACAGAAGATATTTTCTGTTTTTCCTTCTTATGGAAAGGAGCTTGTATGTAACACAACATTCTACAGCTAATGAATAGACAGATGAAGAGGAGCCCCCTGGGAACTGTGACCTGGTTTGTCATGATTAGATAGGTTAATGGTCACAAGTGCGTGTGCATGGCTTGGAATTCACTTAAAATGTACAAGTGGGGCCTGGGACAGCTCAGTGATAAAGTGCTTGACTGGCTTGTCCTAGGTACATCCTCTAGCCCAAGGAGAAAAAAAAAAGCATTGGTTTTTATAGAAGTTTTCTGAGAGTTGACTATTGTTTTTCTTTTTTCTTTCTTTTTTTTTTTTTCCGACAGGGTTTCTCTGTGTAGCTTGGGAGCCTGTCCTGGAACTCACTTTTGTAGACCAGCCTGACCTCAGACTCACAGAGATCCGCCTGCCTCTGCCTCCTGAGTGCTGGGATTAAAGGCGTGTGCCACCACTGCCCAGCTGAGCAGACTATTCTTTTCTTTTTTTCTATTATCAGTATGACACATTACAAATTCTTATCCTAATAGTGAAATGTTTCACTGAAGCTTGCCCAGGGATTGAGTAAAACCAAAACTTATTATATTCTTAATCAATTGTGAATCCTCAGTAAGAGAAGGGCTCGGGGCAGTCTTTACAGAATCCAGCGTGTTTATTTCGTCCCCAGCAAGCACTGTCTCCACCCCAGGTCTGAAATGAACACCATCACTGTTAAAACTCATAGGAAGCATTGGGCGGCGGCGGCGCACGCCTTTAATCCCAGCTCTCGGGAAGCAGAGGCAGGCGGACCTCTGTGAGTTTGAGGCCAGCCTGAGCTACAGAGTGAGCTCCAGGAAAGGTGCAAAGCTACACAGAGAAACCCTGTCTTGAAAAACAAACAAACAAACAAACAAACAAACAAACAAACAAACAAACCTCATAGGAAGCAAAAATTCTATGTATGGTACTCTTGCCCAGTATAGGTGGGTCAACATTTCTGTCCAGGATAGGCAGGTGCTTTAGCAGTCTAATACAATAAACACTATGTATTTGCAGATCTGCTTTCTCTTAGAAATGGATGTTTGAACAAAATTTAGTGAGGAAAATATCTTCCCAATAATCATCAGCCAGTCACTGACTTACCACCAACAATGGTAAATGTAATGAAAAGTTATCTGATAGCTAGAAAATGCCTGTCATTTCCAGATGATGCCACTGTAGGATCACAATGCAACTCATGATTTATGTGCCATGGGGGTGAAGTAGCCTACTCTGTTGTCTGTCAGCCATATAAACATGTAGCACAGACAATCGACTGCAGTATTGGTGGGAAGAACTCAGTTACACTTTACGTAGTCACTCCTACCACAACTTTAATCATTATTTTAGGAGATCTATTTCTGCTTATACAAATGCTTACTGAAAAAACAGCATGTTGTGTTATTCTGGCATCTGCCACATACCTCTGCACACCTGCGCTTTGATTGCCTCAGGCAGCCAGGTACAGTTGGCTGACCCATACCATGGAGGAGGGTTGTGTAAGTCAATGACATTCACACCCAATGATGCAGTGATGCTGTTCTTGGACTATCATTAAACAGTGCATAACTGTGTAAGTCTGATATATTGCAAGATGCAAAGAGTCTGTTTACTATTATCTCTCTCTCTCTCTCTCTCTCTGTGTGTGTGTGTGTGTGTGTGTGTGTGTATGTTATGCATACCTTCCTTCGTGTGTGTGAGACTGCTTGCAGGCGTATGTGGAGATCAGAGGTTGACATTGGGATGCCTTCCTCAGTCTCTTCTCTATGTTTTGAGACAGGATCTCTCAGTGACCTTGGAGTTTGCTGGTGTGACTAAACTAGCTTGCCATGAAGCCTCTGGGGTCCTCCTGTCTCCGCTCTACAGTGCTGGGGTTAGATGCACACCTGGATTCACATGGACGCTGGTGATCCAAATTCAGGCCACCCTTCTTGCACAATAAGCACTTTCCCCACGGGTCTGTCTTTCTCAACCCCAAAGAATCCATTTAAACGATGGTATGTCAATTGATGAGAGTGAAGACAGCTAAGTCAGAACTAAAAGCCAGTGCCTGAGGAAAATGGCTAGGATGATGCAGTGAGGAAGAAATTGGAAACCAGACAGGTTAGAGTTAAGTTAAACATGGGGTCTGTGAGAATGGCTTCAGAATCTTTAAACACAGAGGCAATTGACATCTTCCTGGAATTGCTTTCAAGTACTGCTGGCAAACATCCTCAATTAGATTAGCAAATTTAATCCTCTTCCCTCATGCCCTGAATTAGGAAGTTGATGGGGTATTCTAAACAGCATCTACTCTTTCCTCGCTGCGCAGTCTTACATAGGTGTCCCTGAAGTTAGGTTTTTACTGCTGCAAGTTCCACTGATCCAAAAGATGGAACCCTACTGGAGGAACTGGAATATAACTTTACAGAATTTAGCTTATTGAGTAAGGGAAAAATACCTAAGTTCCAAAAGTAGCTGGGTTAGCTAGAAAGAGCAATCGCTTCACACTGCTAACTTAATCTCAAGTTATCCTCAGTTGAATTCGGTAAAAGAATTCATTGGTCTGCCGTGTCTGTGGATGCTGAGCTATTCGGGCAGATTTTCTCAGTAATAGCTGACTCTTCTTGAATTATATTAATAGAAAGATCCATTTTATCCCTTGGGACAAAGCAAATATTTACCACCCTCCTCAAATAAAGAAATTTAAAAATATTTGCCCTTATTGCTGGGTAGTGAGTGCAGCTTGATTTGTCTTGAATCTCATTTTACTCTCTTAGTTTTTCACTTGATAGTGACCTGGGTGACAAATTTAGCTCCCTGAGAGAGGCAGTACCTCTCGCTGAATTGTTGAACTCAGGACATAGCTCAGGATTTATCAATGTGGGAAGAAGAGAAAATTCTTCTTTCCAAAAATGTTGACATTGAGTTCTGCTTACCGTCCAAAAGCCACACAATGCCTACATTTCTTTCTTTTTTTAAATATCAACAGTTATTAATGCAGATACCATCCAGCATGTAACTGAAATGCTTTTCATTGGAATATATTAGAAAATATGCTAGAAGAAAGAAGCCTCTGAATTCAAACACAAAAGTCTGGTTTTATGATAAGACAGAATTTCTCTGTGTAGCCCTGGCTGTCCTAGAACTCACTCTGTAGACCAGGCTGGACTTGAACTCAAAAGATCCACCTGCCTCTGCCACCTGAGGGCTGGGATTAAAGGTGTGTTCTACCAGATCTGGCTGATAGATGGTTCAGCGGGTAAGAGCACTGGCTGTTCTTCCAGAGAACCTGGGTTCAATTCCCAGCACACACATGGCAGCTCACAACTGTCTGTAACTCCAAGATCTGACAATAATCTATATTTAAAAAAAAAAAAAAAAAGGCTCTGCAGCTAACTCAGCAAGTGGAGGTACTTCCTGCCCCCATGATGCCCCGACGTCTACCCTGGTAGAAATCGAGAACTACCTCCCACAAATTGTCCTCTGGCCTCCATGTGCCCACACATGTACAAATAAGTAAATGTTGCTTCAAAATTCATTTAAAGAGCTATGATCTATCTACATAAATTCATACAGTCACTAATGCACCCCATGCATGTGTACACACAGAGACTTGTTTGTGGTGGTAGGGGGGGTGCTGGTTCTGGAAACGGGTTGAAGTGGTTACTGATGGGAAATAGGTCAAGGGCAGGAAGGAGTGGATCTATTTTCTCCCCTTTATATCCTTTTATATGATTTGATCTCTTTGTCATGAACAATTACTGGTTTTATAAACAAGAAAGGGGAAAAAATATGAACCATCTGTGGAATGTCTTCTAACCCAGTCACTTTAAATCTGGCTGGTCGTATAGTCTGACCCAAGCTCTCCAGTGTTACCGTGAGAAGAGCATTGAACTAGACTTCATGGGCCGTCCAATCCAAACGACTTCCTTCCACTCACCATCTTCCAGGCGTAGCTCACATTGTAGGCTTCCTTTCCAGTCTCCCTCAGCTTGTTTATGTGCCAAGACAGAGATGAGTTCACAGGGACTGTGATAATCCGGCTGCCTAGAGGGAGGCTGGGTGGAAAAACAGAATTAAATGCCTCAGGCAAGAAAGAAAAATTAAGCACTTAATTAAAGGCAAGGAAGAAGCTGTGAGCCAATGGCCACCCCCTGCTTCTGAACAGCATTGAAACTCATCACTTTTGAAAGACATGATGTGAGATTTTCAATTTTGTAAAGGCGTTATATCAACTCCACTTTAGAAGCCATCCTTCGCCTCTACCCTGCCCCCAATGCTAATTCTTTCCAGAGACTGACTTGTCTCAAATCATTCACTTATTAATTTTCAACCAATGAGCACGAAGACTCATTTCTCCACAGGTTACCATCTGCCAAAATAACATATCCCGGTTGGAAAACATCCAATCTGTTTTTATTTTAAGGGAGCGCTGCACAAACTGTGCGGTCGGACACGGCACTGACAAGCTATCTACTGCTCCTCATCTTAGCCTGTTTTTTGCTAATCCATTTCAGTTTGGTCTAAGCAGAGTACTTTCTGGAAACGTGTTAACATATGCCTGACTTGACAATTAAACTCAATGGAAACGTAGAATTTGATTGACAAAATATTGCCTCCAAATAATTTTGACTTTCCCTGTTACATCAAGTAAACAAGATCCTGGCTACCCTTCTTTAAATTCTTGTTTTCCGATTTAATTTTATTTATTTATTATTATTGTGTATGTATTCACAATGTGTGTGTGTATGTGTCTGGGTGAGGGGTGGCGGAGGTGGGGGGTTACCACGGTGAGAGTGTGTAGGTTAGAAGAGAACTCTGTGGAGTCTATTCATTCCTTCTCCTTTTATGTGGTTTCTGGGATCAAATCTGGATTGCCAAACCTGCATGGCAAGCACGTTTGCCTACTGAGCCATCTCCCAGCCCTTGGCTCCTATCATTATGAAAAAATTACTCAGAAAACTTTTGGTAACAAGAAAATAATTTGTATACTTGCCTCATATCCTATGGCAAACACTCATATTTGATCACAAAATGGGTCCCCTTCTCAAAAGACATGAAATCCTGTAGCCCTCACCTCGTTCTTACCTTAGGATATTTTGCCGAACCAGTTCAAACTTGGGGATATTTTCGTAATGTATGATGTCAGTATGAAGGGGGGGCTCTGACAGTAAGTATGGCCTGGTAAGAGATGGATGCATAAGTGTATACCCTGAAATCACAGAATAAGACATGTTATAAGGAAGATGTAGAATGCCAGTTCTAACAAATGTGCCCATTACTGGTCTGAACTGTGGACTGTCTGGGATGGCTGCCCAGTGCTCAAAACCTCGTATGTACCATGGCAGTCCAATAAAACCTCAACCTGTTTTATGTGAGCTCTCATAAAACTCCTGAAGTGTTGAAAGAGCTCTTAAATTACTGAACATATGTCTAATGGAGGCTATTTAGGTGGTGTTCGTTTTTCTGGTTTTCATTTTATTAAATGTTCTAATCTGTTATATGTAAACCTTCCTGCCAGGGAATCTAAAGATAAAGGTACTAACAAAAAGTGGTTTAAACCCCATTCTAGACATTGTTCACCCCCAAGTCTAACTTCTTGATGTTATAAAAACCCACGATCTCATAACCCAGCATATCATGACCTCATGGTTTGTGAATGTATTCTGCCATCCCTAGGATACATTCCCACAGTGGCCCAGTGACCCCATAACTTCCCTGAAAGCCATCCTTATCCCACTTCATGTATTAGTACAAGAATATCCACAGACTATTTTTTTTTAAGTTGCAAAAGAAAAGTCTTCTTTCTTACAAGTAACTCTTTGTAAATTACCTTTGTCATCTATGAGAAAAGTATAGGAAGCCAAAGAGTCTTGGTAATATGTCACGTCTTCAAGAATGTAAGCCAGGTTCACGTCCACACCTACGATTCCCAGGAGGAGATTTCCAAAGTAACAGGGTTTACTCACAGTCATTATCAGACCTGTGGGTTAAAAACAGAACCAAAGAATAGCATAGAAATTCTGGACCAAGGCTGGGGCTGTGCTCAGGTGAAGTATAAGGGCTAATAGTGCCCTCGGGTTCTGTTGGAAAGTTTTCTGTGATCCAGGTCTGAACCCCTGCTCTTGCAGCCTGCATGGAAAGTGAGCCAAAGGAAGAGAAGAGGGTCCTTTGGTGTTCAGATATTGCAGTTAAAATAAACAGGGGTGATTCCATGCCCCCCACTTCCTATCTAAGCCATGATACTTGGTGTGGTAGTTTGAATGTAATTGGCCTCCATAATCTCATAGGGAGTGGCACTATTAGAAGGTGTGGCTTTGTTGGAGTGGGTGTGGATTTGTTGGAGGAAGTGTGTCACTATGGGGGCGGGCTTTGAGGTTTCCTAAACTCAGGATACCGCCCAGTGTCTCAGTGGACTTCCTGTTGCCGCCATGCTCCCTGTTATGATGATAACAGAGCAAACCTGTGGAAGTGTAAGCGAGTCACTCCCATTAAATGTTTCCTTTGTAAAGGTAGCTGTGGTCATGGTATCTTTTCACAGTAATAGAAACCCTAACTAAGACACTTGGGATTAATAGAATATAGTGCAGTGCCAAACACATCTGGTGAACTGGGAAGATTCAGTTGTATGTCAAAAACAAACAGACAGACAAACAGACAAAAAACAAAACAAAACAACAAACAAAAACAACAAAAACCACTGGATAAGGAATCTGAGCTCTTGAGTTCCATTCCAGTTTACTCCTTTGATACTATACGTGTGACGTGTGACACTGGAGATAATATCCCTCACTGATGCTGACAGGACACAGATGAAAGGAACTGTTTTGCTGATTTCTAGGGGATGCTGGACCAAGAGACTGCAGGGAAAGGGATTTGTAAAAGATACAAACATTACAGCGTATTAATGTATCAAAAATCCCTGAAGACAGAGGAGGACATTAGAAAACCGCAGAAACTGATCATACAGAACTCTGAGTAGTTGAAAGAAGATGAAATTTCCATAGGAATGCATTTCTAGTCATGGAGGCCAGTCCCCACACTAGAGTGTAAAGGTCCAGACAGTACATGCTGTAGGCTCTGTCAGCCATACTGTCTCAGGGACCCATTCTTTCATATTTTTTTCTTTTTAGAAACAATTTTTCAAACTATACAGTCATACTTAGCTCACAGGACACATAAAACAGCAGGGCAGTTAGGGAAGAGCACACAGGAGGAAACTGGACGGGGGGGAAGGGTGTGGCTCTCAGAATCCACCTGGGCACCAAACTGTGCCGCCTCCACCGAGAGGCAGGACATGTTTGTGCCGCCCTGACGGGTATGTGTCTTCATGAAGCCGAGACAGGCAACGTCTCTGATCTCTAATCATGCTGCAATCTCGGGGCTCTCCATAAATCTCAAAACATAGAAATGACCTGCTTTTCTCTATCTTGTATCTCCCTTCACCCGGAGGCATGTGCTTGTTCATAAATCCCTCCTAGAACACTTTGGAAAAGGATCTGGACACTCTTAAAGGTGTCTACGAAGAATGGACTTCTACACAGAGAGCTGTGGGTGATGACAATACTCCAGGTGTGCTGAACTGCTGTGGTGGCAGAGACCAGCTGAATGCATCACTTAGCAGGAAGGGGGAGACACAACCCCGGAAAAGTTTGTAAAAAGTCATTCCATGGTGGGTAGGAGGTCTCTTCTGATCTTCAAAGCACCGTCTATTCAGTTCACATTTCAAATGTTTCTCATTGTCGGCTTGAAAACAGCAGATATTGAAGACGGACTGAAGTGCAGACTTCACAGGAGGTTTGTGTTTAGGTCTCCCTGGATGAATGGGTTGTGTATGGCAGAAGCACTATTGTGGGAGCCAGTATAGAGAGAGACAAAGGTCCCTATGTAGGCCACATTTCCCTGGGCTTTTGTCTAAGATGCAAGTCATTTTCATAGACCAGTAAAAGTCCAACGCAATGCTCCATGACCGAGATTCAAGAGCAGTCTAACCTCTTCTGGCTATGACGAAAAGAACTGTCTCAAAAATGAGCCTCAAACCTATTTTTCCATCAGCTTAGACAGGAGATTCTTTGTATTAATTAATTACAAATGAGTTGATTTGTGTGTGCATGTGTCTGTGCATGTGTATCTGTCTGTGTGTTTGCACACGTGTTTGCACATGCACTCCCTCAGAAGTCCAGGTTAATGTCAGGTTTCTTTTCTCAGTTGCCCAACTGAGACAGGGCCTCTCACTGAACCCGGAGCTCACTGATTTGACTAGACCAGCTAGCCAGGGAGCGCCTGTCAGCTGCCTGTCTCTGTTCACACCAGCACCAGGGTTATAGATTCCACTCTGCGTTCCTGGCATTTTACACGGTTTCTAAGGGACCTGAACTCAGGTAAGCACCTTACTGGGACATTTCCCAGCCTCTAGACAGAAGACTCTAGATCCTCATGCGGCGAATAAAGTATGTCAAGCTATATCCATACTGACAGAATCTCCAAACACTACCCTCTCTACTTGAATCTCAAACATACAAGTTGTTTTTTTTTTTTAAAAGAAATGCATGTTCAGCAAATACATATCACACACACACACACACACACACACACACACACACACACACACACAATGATATGCACCAAATGACAATCAATGAACAGCGGTTTTTGAGTTAGAGCTGCATTGAGCACTCTGTGTTCAAGCTCGTGAAGGCAGAGGAGGTGTCACCCAATAAATCGTAGGACCTGAAAGCCCGATAGAAGTTGACACACTGGCACAGAAACTCAACAGACGTGTAAACCAATGACTGAAATCTGCTGTGGAGGGTTCATGAAGTAAGACCTGCAGACTAAAATTTGGATGACATTAACAAACGGTTTCTCAACGTTTTCATATACGGTGTAAATTTTAAGAGGGGCCCCACTCCACCTGACCGGTATTGGTCATTTTAGGTAACTTATTCCGCTGGGTTCCTAAAGGATTGCATTTCTACATCTGTCTGTATTCCTTTCACACAGTAGTAATAGGATGTCTTAATCAGTCTCTTATCAGCAAAATTTTAATGAGGGGGTTTTGTGTACCTTCCCCCTCACTCTGTGGTACATCACTTGGCTGGCGCGCGCGCGCGCACACACACACACACACACACACACACACACACACACACACACACACACAAATGTGCATTTAAGACACGGTACTGTAACTACTTAGAGGAATAGCCTAATCTGGAGGCAGGAGTTCCTAGACAAGTGGTTCTCAATCTGTGGGTTGCGACCCCCTTGGGGGTTGAATGAAGATCTGACGCCCCCACAAAGACATACATGCAGGCAAAGCACCAATGCACATAAAATAAAAATAAATTATAAAAATTATATACTTAAATGAACATTAATCATTCCAGTGTCCCTTTTTACAGGGGTCGCCTGAGACCATGGGAAAACACAGATATTCACATTGTGATTCTTATAACTAGCAAAATTACAATTATGAAGTAGCAATGAAATAATTTTATGGAGGGGGGGGGTCATCACCACACCATGAGGAACTGTATTCAGGGGTCGCAGCATCTGGAAGGCTGAGAACCACTGTCCTAGACTATGCAGATTTGTGGACCCACTCAGAACAGGACCCACTCAGAACAAAAAGGGATAAAAACTGCAGCTGTTACGTTTCTGTTTTATAAAAAAAAATATGCTGGGCTGGAGAGATGGCCCAGCCAGCAAAGCGCTTGACACGTGAGTGTGAGGATCTGCATCTGGGTCCTCAGCACCCATGTGAGGAAGCTCAGTGTCACGACATGTGTCTGAAATCTTAGTGCTGGGCGTGCAGGTCCTGGGGGCCTGCTGGCCAGCCAGCCTAGACATGTCAGTCAACTCCAGGGAGAAACTGAGGGGGAAAAACGGTGGAGAGCAACTGAGGGAGATTCCTGACATGCACCTCTGGTTTCTGTGTACACACACAGCACTCACAAGTGAGCACACCCTACACATACGCACATACACACACATGTATGCATATAGCACAAGAAATCAAAAAAGCGCATTTCCCCATCTCCAGAACCCATCTCTGCAACCTTGCTCCCTTTTAGGCCAGTTTTCCTTGCCTAGCTACAGCTGCATCTGCGAGAGTTCCCAGTCAACAGGAAAACCAGACCTTGTTTGTGATGTCATCCGTCTGCTTAATAACTAGCTGCTTCTTTTAACCTTCACTGAGAATAAGGGAGGGAGGCTCAGTAAGAAAATGAATATTAAGCTGAGTGTAGTGGTGCCTGCCTTTAATCCCAGCACTCGGGAGGCAGAGGCAGGAGGATCTCCGAGTTTGAGGCCAGCCTGGCCTACAGAGTGAGTTCTAGGACAGGCAGATATACACAGAGAAACCCAATCTCAGAAAAAAGAAAAAGAAAAGATTAGAGCTGGAGAAATGACTCGGTACTGAAGAGTACATGCTGTTCTTGCAGAGGACCGGGGTTTAGTTCTGAGCACCCACATGTCAAGTCACAATTGATCATCACTCTAGTTCCAGAATGCACATGCTTTAGACATGTATGGAAGCAAATCAGTCACATACATAAAATTTTAAAAATGTAAAAAAAGCATTAAAAAAGAAGATTCAAAAGATTCCATTTTTCCTGAGAACCAACCTACTATTGGCCAGGCATTTTATAGATATTTTATATATATTACTGCAATTCTTCTTCACAATTACCTTGACAGAAAGGATTCCCATTTTCTAGGTCAGGTGACTGAATCATGTGACAGTTAAAGCCATTACTCAACATTATGGTCTGGGTACTTGTGGCATCAGGATGGTGGTGATAACAGTAAAGGTGAAATAGTGTGTTAAAAAAGGGAATAAGCAGTACTCATAACTGGGTAGCATGCCAGCCACTGGTATATGTCTCTGTATATGTATATATGTAGGTATCCATCTTAATCTGTATATATTCATGTATGTGTGTGAATTAATCCTAAAATTTCCCTGATTTATTATCCCTTTTCGAAGATGACCAAACAGAATTAACAAGACGAAATACACTACTGAGGACAAGGACTTAGGAAGTGTGGGACCTAAGAGCCCACCCACCGCCAAATCTTTGTGTTTCCCTATGCACTGTGACACAATGCTACCCTTCAGTGTCACTTCCTAATGGAGCGTCCTCAGGAAGATGCATCGGGAACTATCCCTTTACATCCTTTTAGGCTGGAGCAAGGAGGAAACATCTGACAGGAGCCAAGATGAAAGGCAAAGAGTGTGTTCACCTTTGTTTTTAAAAAGATGTTATGTGTTAGAGCCATGTGGCAGGTTAGGGGGCAGGCATGTTTCTGTGGGGTTGGAGCAGGAAGGGTACACCTTCCTGTTTGCTCCTTCCTTTCCTCTCCCATAGGAGGACATTCTCTCTGCACTTACCATCCCCCATCTCGTCAGAGAAGGGGAGGCTGAAGACAGCCTCGTCAATCATCCGGTTGGGAAGGTTAGTGTAGAACCTGCCAACTGTGGTCTCCAGGTTGCTCAGCTGGTTCAGCACCATCATGCTGCCCTTTATCACAGGCAAGGCTGTCCGGTCCGGGATCCCATATTTCCCAGAGTTCTGTTCAGCCAGATCCCTGAGGAACGCCAACTCCTTCAATCCAGTCACCCCATCTATAAGCAAAAACAAGAGGGAAGCTTGGTTATTTCTAGGCAACAGTTGGCCGTTTAGATCCACCGTGGATACAGGCGAGGTCTGGCACAGGTCGTGGTGGTGCAGGCCTTTGATCCCAGTGGGGTGGGGGTGGGGGTGGGGAGCAGGGTGTACTGGGGTGATCAAGGCAAGCGGCATCCACATAGTGGGTTCCAGGACAGCCAGAGCTACACAGTGAGACCCTGTCCCGAAGAAACAAAACCCAGAAACAAATAGATGAAGTCCTGCATGTCCAAGGGGGTCCATATTTGGAGGAATAGTATGGACCCAGGATGATACCGGTTCCCACTGTAAAGCAAAGGCCGAGGCATGGAATTTCTTCAGTCAGACACACAAAGGGATTCTTCAAAAGGCAGTGATGGAAAACACATGGGAAGCGAAGGATGTGCCCGTCCTAAACATTTAATTATAAGATTTCAATTCTCTGCTGCACTTACTATCTGAAAGCAAAAGCAACAGTTAACGAGTCTGCATTTAATTCACAGCAGCAGGTGACCTTTGGAGAGTTTTAAGGACTTTACCATTCCATTCCTTCTTTGCCTGTAAAACCACTTGCTAAAAAACCCAAGAAACTCAATGAAAGAATTATGGTCTGCATTTAGCAATGCTTCTAAGCCCTCTTCTTCAAGCTCATTTTAATTACAAATGTCTTTATGCTTGATATTGTTAGGATAATACTAAATTTGATTTATTTAATGTGTATTTTTTTTTATATTTACAGGGTATTGAAAACGTTGTAAGAAGATTTAGGCATAGTGGGATGTATTGTTCTACAACATCTGTATTCCATAGTACCAAAATAAATTTAATAAACCATTTTTTTTCTTTTTTTTTTTAGTTTGCTATTGTTGGCATACAGTCAAAAGGATTAGTAACTGATCTCACATGGGCACCACTGTAAACAAGTTCAAGTGCTTTCAGCTGGTGGCGAGTCTCCACCACTGCCCTTCCAGAAGATTCTGTCTGCTACTCTTGAAGGTTTCAACAGCAAACTCTGAGCTATTCCATTGTTAGACGAACCTGAAGCTTTCTCGGGTCACCTACCATATATGCCGTGATCTTTTCACCCACGGAGTGAGCGTGTTTCTAACATCAGAAGTTCAATTCTAGTTTACCAGGTAGCAGCAAGAGTTAAGGGATCATCTTTCTTCCTTACTTTCTTTTTTTTTTTTTTTTTTTTTTTTTGAGACAGGGTCTTACTATGTAACTCTGGCTGGCCTAAAGTTTGCTTTGTAGACTAGGCTGGCCTTGAACTCAGAGATGTCTCTGCCTCTGCCTCTTGAGTGCTAGGATTAAAAAAAAAAAAGTGCCACCATGACTGGTTGATTTCTTTTTAAAAACATTATACCTAGATAAACTTGAATTCCACTGCACTCCTTCAAGGCGAAAGGAAAGAAATAAATTCCTGTGGCGAATCACTTGAGAACCAGGTAACTGTTCCCTTTGCTTGGCATAGAGCTGAGATTGGGGTGAGGGCTGAGGGGATCTGTTTTAATGTAAAAGACATGACTGACTCTTGACCTCATCTCAAGAGAGGCTCAGAGAGGTAGAAGGATGAGAGGAGACAACTCGGGCAATAGATGTATTTCCTGTTTGTCTAGTGTTGCTCTGCTCTCAAAGTGTCAACAAGTGACAACCCTAGATATTTGCTAGGCATGGCAGGACAGCGTGGGACAGGGTTGGGTTGTTGACACTCAGATTAGTAAATACACTGGGTTGTAAACCCACCAAGATGGGCATGCTAGAAACCACATTTCCCAGAGTCCTCGCTGCTGTATGCTCACAAATTAAAGACTCCAGAAGTCAAGTTTTATGAAGTGAACTGAGAGATGGTGTGAGAAACTGATAGAGACGTCAGAATGTTCCAGTTTGAACCACTCTCTCTACTCCTCATTAAGCCTCCTCTCCAAACTTTGGGCATGCTCACTACCATCAACCCCAGGTAAGTTGTCTAGCTATTTCATGGAGAGCAATGGCCATGAAAAGCCAACAACCTTCCAGAAATTTCTATACTGCAACTTATAAATTGTCTTCAGTGTTCCCAGCTTTCACTGCAAGCTTGATGATTAAACTTGTGAGCTTTCTGTTTTGTATTTTTCCATTCACCCCAGCCATAGTCATATACCTCATCCAAATTCCTCAGAAAATCCAGCTCTTTCAAACTTTCACCCATCTGCAATCAAAAGTCATGGGAAGACCACGTCTGGGAAAGTGGTTACACAGACAGACAGACAGACAGGCAGACAGGCAGACGGACGGACGGACACACACACACACACACACACACACACACACACACACACACACACACACACACACACACATCTTTCACAGGCTCACATTGGCCTTGCTTCCCTATCTGAGCTCTTGGAGGATCTAGTGAGGGAGAGTGTCTGCTCCAGCGAACAGCAGTCAGAGA